TAGTAGTAGTAGTAGTAGTAGTAGTAGTAGTAGTACTAGTAGTAGCAATAGTAGTAGTAGTAGTAGTAGTAGTAGTAGTAGTAGTGGTAGTAGTCGTAGCAGCGGTAGTAGAAGAAGTAGTAGTAGTAATATCAATATTAGCCGCAGTAGTAGTGGTCACAATCGTGGTAGGAGTAGTAGTAGCAGTAGTGGTCGTAGTAGCAGTAGTCGCAGCCGGCGTAGTGGTCACAATATTTGGAATAACGATAGTGATAGTAGTACCCGTCGAATAGTAAAACCAGTAGCAATATTTCAAGGAGTAGTCGTAGTAGTAGCAGTAGTCATAGTAGTAGTAGTAGTAGTAGTAGAAATAATGGTGGTAGTAATAATAGTAGTCGTAGTAGCAGTAGTCGTCGTAGTAGTAGTCGTAGTAGCAGTAGCAGGGGTAGTAGCAGGAGAAGTAGTAGTAGTAGTAGTAGTAGTAGTAGAAGTAGTAATAGTAGTCGTAGTTGTAGAAGTCGTCGTCGCAGCCATACTCGAAGTGATCGCAGTAGGAATCGTAGAAGTAGTAGTAGTAGTAGTAGTACTAGTCGTAGTCGAAGTCGTAGTAGTAGTAGTAGTAATAATAAAAGTAGTGCAGGAAATAGTCGTAGCAGTCGTAGCCGTAGTAGTAGTAGTAGTAGTAGTAGTAGTAGTAGTAGTGATAGTAGTAGTAGCAGTAGTACCAGTAGTAGTAGTAGTAGTAGTAGTAGTAGTAGCCGTAGTAGTAGTAGTAGTAGTAATAATATTCTTAGTCGTAGTAGCAGTAGTCGTAGCCGCGGTGGTAGTAGTAGTAGTAGTAGTAGAATTCGTAGTCGTAGCCGTAGTCGCAGTAGTAGTTGCGATAGCCGTCGTCGTTGTAGTAGAAGTAGTAGAAGTAATAGTAGCAGAACTAGTTGTAGTAGTAGTAGTAGTAGTAGTAGTAATAGTAGTAGTAGTAGTAGTAGTAGTAGGAGTAGTAGTAGTAGTAGTAGTAGTGGTAGTAGTAAAAATCGTAGTAGTAGTAGTAGTAGTAGTAGCAGGATTAGTGCTAGTAGCAGTAGCGGTTGTAGTAGTAGTATGAGTAGCAACAGTGGTCGTAGTGGTAATAGTGGCGGTCCCCGTCGTGACAGCCGTAGTAGTCGTAGCCGTTGTAGTAATAGTGCTAGTAGTAGTCGTAGTAGTGACAGTAGTAGTAGTAGTAGTAGTAGTAGTAGTAGTAGTAGTAGTGGTAGTAGTTGTAGTAGCCGTAGTCGTGATTAATGTAATACTGATGGCAGTAGTAGTAGTAGTAGTAGTAGTAGTAGTAGTAGTAGTAATAGTAGTAGTGGTAGAAGTAGTAGTAGTAGTAGTAGTAGTCGTAGTAGTAGTAGTAGTAGTAGTAGTAGTAGTAGTAACAGTAGTAGTTAAAATATTAGTAGCCGGTATGTTCGTAGTGGAAGGTAGTGGTAGCAACACTCATCGTAGTAGTCGTCGTCGTGGCAGTAGTAGTAGTAATAAGAGCAGTAGTAGTAGTAGTAGTCGTAGTAGTAGTAGGAGAAGTAGTAGTAGTAGTAGTAGTATGCACAGTAGGAATAGTAGTAGCAGTAGTACTAGTAGTAATAGTCGTAGTCGTAGTAGTAGTAGTAGTAGTAGTAGTAGTATTAGTAGTAGTAGTAGCAGTAGTCGTCGTAGTAGTACTAGTAGTGGTAGTAATCGAAATAGTGAAGGAAGTCGCATTCGCCGTAGTAGTGGTAGCAATGATACTCGTAAACGCAATCGTAGCAGTAGTAAAAGTAGTAGGTGCAGCAGCCGTAGTATTATGAATATTATTATTATTATTAGTAGTAGTAGTCGTAGTACTAGTAGTAGTCGTAGTAGTAGTCGTAGTAGTAGTAGTAATAATAGTAGTAGTAGTACTCGTATCAGTAGCAGAATTCGTAACAGTAGTAGTCGTCGTCGTCGCCCTAGTAGTAGCACCACTACTAGCGGTATTAGTAGTAGTCGTCCTCGTAGTAGTTGTAGTGCTACTGGTAGTATTAGTATTCGTAGAAGTAGAAGCAGCAGTTGTCGTAGTCGTAGTAGTAGCAGTAGCAGCAGTTGTCGTAGTCGTAGTGGTAGCACAAGTAGTAGTAGTAGTAGTAGTAGTAGTAGTAGTAGTAGTAGTGGTAGTAGTAGTAGTAGTAGTAGTAGTAGTAGTGGAAGTAGGAGTACTCGTAGTAGTGGACGTAGTAATAACAGTAGTAGTAGTAGTAGTAGTAGTAGTAGTGGTGGTAGTGGTAGTGACAGTAGTAGTCGTAGTAGTATTAGTAGTCGTCGTCGTCGTCGTCGTAGTAGTAGTAGTAGTAGTAGTAAATAGTAGTAGTAGTAGTAGTAGTAGTAGTAGTAGTAGTAGTAGCAGTAGTAGCGAGAGTAGTAATAGTGGTAGTACTAGTGGTAGTAGTAGTAGTAGTAGTAGTAGTAGTAGTAGTACTAGTAGTAGTAGTAGTAGTAGTAGTAGTAGTAGTAGTAGTAGTAGTAGTAGTAGTAGTAGTAGTAGTAGTAGTCGTAGTAGTAGTAGTAGTAGTAGTAGTAGTAGTCGTAGTAGTCGTAGTAGTAGTAGTAGTAGTAGTAGTAGTAGTAGTAGTAGTAGTAGTATAGTCGTAGTAGTAGTAGTAGTAGTAGTAGTAGTAGTAGTAGTAGTGGTAATAGTCGTAGTAGTAGTAGTAGTAGTAGTAGTAGTGGTTGTAGCAGTAGTCGTAACAATAGTAGTGGCAGTCGCAGTAGTAGTAGTCGTCGTCGTCGTAGTACATCCCCAGGACGAAAGTTTTTTCCTCTTGGGCCCGGAACGACGGCTTGACGTCTTAAGCAGACGCGTGTGAGATACCCGCCGTCGGATCCAATGAAGTTCGCGCGGATCAAATTTTGGTTTTGGTGTGTGTGTTTCCCTGGATCCGATTTCTGTCCGCGCGGATCCGATTTCGGATTTGCTGGATCCGTGTTCGGTCTTATTTTTCACGGCGGGTCCGATTTCTACCCTGGTTTAAACTTATATGTTTAAACCAGGAAGCCGGAAGAAATCCGACCCGCGGACCCCGCAAACCGCCCGTGTTAAGATTCTACGGGGGATGGGGGGTTCGGTAATTCACTTTCCACGGTGGGCGCTGCGTCGTCTCGCGCACTCTCATCAGCTTTCCGCGCGAGTGGGTCTCATTCAAAATGAATACATACATCCCTCTCACCCGGGTTGCTGCAACCAGCTCGTCTGGTCGCCGTCCGTTCCAGCGCCGACGTTGTCCCGCGAACTCCTCATGGCCACTTTCACCTCAAGAGGAAAATCTTTCGTCCTGCGTAAACAGTGGTAGTAGTCGTCGTAACTGTAGTAGTAGTAGTAGTAGTAGTAGTAGTAGTAGCAGCAGTAGTAGTAGTAGTAGTAGTAGTAGAAGTAGTAGTAGTAGTAGTAGTAGTAGTAGTAGTAGTAGTAGTAAGTCGTAGTAATAATGATAGTAGTAGTAATAGTAGTAGTAGTAGTGGTAGTAGTAGTAGTAGTCGTAGTAGTAGTAGTAGTAGTGGTAGTAGCCGTAGTAGTAGTAGTAGTAGTAGTAGTAGTAGTAGTAGTCGTCGTGGTCGTAGTAATGGTAGTAGTAGTAGCAGTAGCAGTAATAGTAGTAGTAGTAGTAGTAGTAGTAGTAGTAGTAGTAGTAGTGGTAGTAGTGGTAGTAGTGGTAGTAGTAGTAGTAGTAGTAGTAGTAGTAGTAGTAGTATAGTAGTGATAGTAGTAGTAGTAGTAGTAGTAGCAGTAGTAACAGTAGTAATAGTAGTTAGTAGTTAGTAGTTAGTAGTTAGTAGTTAGTAGAGTAGTAGTAGTAGTAGTAGTAGTAGTAGTAGTAGTAGTAGTAGTAGTAGTAGTAGTATAGTAGTAGTAGTAGTAGTAGTAGTAGTAGTAGTAGTAGTAGTAGTAGTAGTGGTAGTAGTAGGAGTAGTACTAATAGTATCAGGAGCAGGGGAGGAGGATGAGGCGGAGGGGGAAGAACGGGGGGAGGAGGCAGGGGAGGGGGATGATGGCAGGGGAGGGGGATGATGAGGATGATGCTGATGCTGGTGATAACGCTGACGATGATGCGGATGCTGATGATGATGCTGATGCTGATGAGATGATGAGATGCTGATGATGATCATGACGATGCTAATGCTGGTGATGGTGCTGATGCTGATGAGTATGATGATGATGAGCAGGAGGAGGAGGAGGAGGATGAGAAGGAGGCAGACGAGGACGTGGAGGGGGGAGGAGGAGGGGGAGGTGGAGGAGGAGATTGAGGAGGAGGAGGCGGAGGCGGAGGAGGGGAGAATAAGGAGGAGATGGAAGAGGAACAGGAGGAGTAGGAGGAACAGGGGGAGTAAGGGGAGGGCGGCAAAAAGAAGGAGAAGGATGAGGAGCAGGAGGATGAGGAGAGGGAGGAGGGGGACGAAGAGAAGGAGGAGGAGGAGGAGGAGGAGGAGGAGGAGGAAAGGGAGGAGTAAGGCGAGGGGGATGATGAGGAGGAGGAGGAAGAGGAAGAGAAGGAGGAGAAGGAGGAGGAGGAGGAGGAGGAGGAGGAGGAAAGGGAGGAGGAAGAGGAGGGGGAGGAAAGGGGGGAGGAGGTGGGGGAGGACATGGAGGAGTGTAGAAGAAAGGGAAGGGGGAGGAAGAGGGGTTGGAGGAGGGTTTGGAGGAGGATGGAGGAAGAAGAAGAAGTTCGAGGGCCCAATGTCCCGTTCAAGAGATCTGTCCAGAATCGGCCCCCAGGTCCTGCGGGAGTCCGCCTGGGCTGGTTTTCCCCAAGGCGCGCCGCAACGGAGAGCCTCCAGGAAGGCCCTCAAGAGCCTTCGAAAAGCCGTCGTCGGCGACGGCTACGACGTCGTCGTCGTCGTCGCCGCCGCCGCCGCCGCCGTCGTCGTCGTCGTCGTCGTCGTCGTCGTCGTCGTCGTCGTCGTCGTCGGCGTCGGCGTCGGCGTCGGCGTCGGCGTCGGCGTCGGCGTCGGCGTCGGCGTCGTGGTCTCGGAGCCTTCACCTCGGGCAGGAGCTCCACCCTGGCGGCGCCCGAGCCGTTCGCCGCCCACTGCGGCCGCACGTCCTCCTCCGCCTCCAGGGCATCCTCCTCCGCAGGGCCGCAGAGGGGGCTGTGGCAGGAGAACAAAAACTTACAGAAACATAAACACTCGGAGGTCCGCGCGGACTTCTCGGATCCGCGCTGGACCCCCCTCCCTGGCGCGCGGAGCGCGCCAGCGGCGGCGCCGGAGGCGCCGCCAAGGGGCCCCAGCGCGGATCCGAGAAATCCACGCGGACCTCCGAGTTTTTATGTTTATGTCACTTGTTGTTCACCTATGTGGGGCCGCTGGAAGCTCTCCCCGTCTTTCCCTGCGGCCACCTGGGGCTCTCTCCAAGCTCGCCAGCCAGGATCGACCTAGGTCGTGGCCGAGTGCCAAAGAGGCCCCTCCGCTTTGAGCCTTCTCCCCGCCGTGGGGAGGAGGTCCCAGGGGGTGCGCCTCCTCGCGCCCCCCTCCCCGGGGTGACTCGGGCGATCTCGGGGCCCATTTGGCCATGTTTGGGCCATCTATGTCCGCTCGAGCCCTCTCGATGCCAATCTCTCGGCACTCTTGGGAATCTCGCGGGCCGTCTTGGAGACCGGGGGCCAGCTCAAGATGCTGCTACATCGGCTGATTCCCTGGTTCGTTTTGCGGGGGATGAGCCAATCACCTCGCCACATCGTTCGCAAGAGCGTCCGACACCGCCCAAGAGCCGGCAAGACTTCCAAAGAGGGGCCCAACAAGGACGATACAGTCGCACCGTTGACCGCCATCCATGGAAAGTAATCCAAAGACCCCCGAGCGGCCCACAAAAGGCCCCACGAGGCTCCAGGACGGCCCCACTTAGGTCGACTGTCTTTCTCGTTGTTCCCGCGTGTTTTGTTCCGCAAACTTGTAACATGTGACATCTTATGCTGCATCATATTGGTCATGCGATCAGTGATGACGTCAATGGTGATTACGACGATGATGATTTATGACGATGGTCATTGTTCTGATGATTATAATGATGATGGTGACGGTGGTGGTGATGATGGTGATGGTGCTGATGAATATGCTATTGATGCTGGTGTTGCTGATGATGATGAACGGGACTATGACAACAACAACGACGACGATGACGACGGCGATGATGGCGATGATGATGCTGATGCTGATGTTGATGATTATGATGATTAGGATGATGACGATGATATCGTTGATGAGATGACGATGATAACGACAGCAGTGGTGATGACGACGATGATGAATATGGCGATGACATCGCTGATGAAGCTGACGGTGATAAAGATAACGGTGACGATGCCGAGAACAACGATGGCGATGGTAACATGCATGACGACGCTACCAGATAACGACAGCGCTGAGAACCCAGAGAACGATGATGACGAGGACGATGACGACTCGCCCCCTCCAAAGCTTTCTCCTGTTCCCTATGGGAAGAAATCCTTTCGTAGGAGAGTTGCGCAGTGCTTCCTACTGCGTGGGTTACAAATAGCATCCCTTTGTGCGGTTTTGCCATCGAGCTCCTTGTGTTCGTCGATTTAAATAAGATCCTTATTGTGTCGAGTACACATCACAAGATCCTTCCGTGTGCTTTACAAGTTTATTCCCTGTGTAGGCGATTTCCACATTGAACTCCATTGTGTATTACACATTGAATCTCTTGATGTGGCCTTGCAATGCGTTTTTTGTTGGCGATTTACAAGTGAACGTCTAGTGTGTGGATTGCATAAGAAATCTGTGTGCACGGCTTTGCGATGAGATGTCGAAGCAACGGAACACAGCAAAGCAGGCGGAGTAAAACAAGGAAACCAAAGCGAACAGCAGAAGGAAGCACAGCAGGACAACAACAACACGACAGCGACACAAAGAAACAGAGTGAACAAAGCAAGCCAGAAAGTAACACGCGGGACTGTCGAGAAAGGCAGTCGGCCACAATGAGGCCCCTCGAATGCCCAATGACTTTGGAACGCGACTCGGGCACTGTGGCGGAAGGGCCGAGAACCGCTCGACCTTCGCCCTCCCATGGAAGACGCCACTGCCCCTGCCTTTGCCACCCTTCCGCTATCTAGGGACAAGGAAAGGCGACACCAACACCAACAGGGCGAGGAGATGCAAGGAGGCAAGGGGGGTCTCCCTGGTGGTGTGGTCCCCCCCTCTCGCTCGAGACATCCTCAGCCTCCAGCTCGGGGAGGCCTCGTGGACCTCCTCGCTGGAAGTGGCCCCCCTGTTGGTGTTGGTGTCGCTTCTCCTCCCTCCGACTATCTGCCTCTTGCGCCCAAACCGTTCACTTCTCAGGGTGGGCGGGCTCGGCCGCAAGGCCTTTGCACACGCTCCTCCCTGCCGCACCACCAGACGTGCCCGTGGGCTGGGCAGGCGTCCCGGTCGACCCCCTTGCACGCTATTGCACTACAGAGTAACAACCCTGATGCCACACGAATGGGGGCTCTCGCCTTGACGCAGCGCGCTGCCGAGTTAAGATTTCCCATCGACTGCAATAAGGAGGGCCAATGGCTTTCGTCTGTGGTTTCCACTGCTGGTGGTACTCAGGGAAGGAACACGGAAGCTGTACTCGCAGTCATAGTTTCACCTGGGCCTGCCTCCATGAAAGGGAGCGTTTCCCGAGCGAAAGCTCAGACGAACCCGCGGTGATGAAGTGGACTTGTGCACTCCCTCTCCCTATTCCCCCGCCCTCCTCCCCTCCCCTGTTCCCAACCAGCGAGACGTCGTGTGAGCCGTTCCTCTTTCCCGAGGCTCCCTGGGTGGCAGGTCGCCTCCTCAAGGCTCTCCGATTCGATCCGAGGTCCAGTGGTTCCAACGCAGCCAAGGAAGGCTGCCCACGCAGCCACGGTGGCCGAATCTTGCCAAACAGTAGTCCCCCCACTAGTTTCACAACCAGTCTTGGCCAAGAAGAGGCACCCGACAACCCCTAACAGTTCCCGAAGGGGCTACAACAGGTCCACTCCTATACCCGAGCCGCTACGAAGAAGGCACAAGGGCCCCCCAAGAAAGGTATAACCAATCCAACCGTCTCCTAAAGCTCGTCAAAATTATTTGTTTCCCGCGCTCTTCGGCTGAGGCCCAAAAGAACCTCGGAAGAGCCAGAGAGAATCCAACTAGGGCCCCACATCGCACCCCAGGCGGCCTTCGACCACCCCCAAGGCGACCCCACGACCACACCACTCGAGACAGCCCCAAAGAGACCCAGGAGAGCTCCACGAAGCCCCTTAGATGACCCCCGCAGCCAGCCAAAATTGTCAAGATCGGCTCCAGACATCCGAGATGACCCCAACGCGGCCCTCGAGGGTGGTCCAAGAGGCACCCAAGACGTCACTGAATGCACATGTATGCATGTATGTATGTTTGTATTCATGCATGCATGTATGTGTGTATGCATGTGCCCATGTATGGATGTGTGTATGAATGCATGCGCGCATGCATGTTTGTATGTGTATATGGAAGTGTGTATACATACATGTATGTATGTATGTATGTATGTATGCATGCATGCATGTATGTATGTATGTATGTAGGTAGGTAGGTAGGTAGGTAGGTAGGTAGGTAGGTATGCAGGTAGGTAGGTAGGTAGATAGGTAGGCGGGCATGTAGGTAGGTAGGTAGGTAGGTAGGTAGGTAGGTAGGTAGGTAGGTAGGTAGGTAGGTAGGTAGGTGTCTATGCACGCATGCAGGTCTGCATGACTTATGCATGTATGTATATCGGTATGACTGCATGCATGCATATATGCACGCATGTAAATGTATGAGTACATGAAATATATGCTTTTGCGTATGGATGGATGCATGAATGCCAACATGCAACTAGGTATACTTGTAACATTTGTGTATGCGTGCATACACGCATACATGCATGTATGTATGTACATGTATGCATGTATGGATATATGGATGGATGGATGTATGGATGGATGGATGGATGGATGGATGGTGTATGTATGTATGTGCGTATGTATGTAGATGTGTATGTATGCATGCGTGTGTGCTGTCTGCTGTTTGTTGTTTGCTGTTTGCTGCTTGTTGTCGTCGTCCCCCCGCGGCCTGGCCCGCGACCCACCCGCGACCCACCCACGACCCATCCCGCGACCCGCCCGCGACCCACCCACGACCCACCCGCGACCCACCCGCGACCCACGGCGACCCACCCGCGACCTGGCCCGCAACCCACCCGCGAACCACTCGTGACCCACCCGGCGACCCGCCCGCGACCGACCCGCGACCCACCCACAGTGCTTCAACGAAAAAGTTGGCGCCTGCGGCGAGCCCGTTGTATGATATGTAAGAAATTCGGCGCCTGCGGCGTGCTTCTTCAGAGCCTCGCAGACTGTCGACGTCCCCGCCGCGCCCCCACTCTTATCCGTCACTGCGGGGTGCTACGCATATATGATCCCGGGCTCCGGGCCCACGCCCCCCCCCCCCCCTCCTCCAGATGGTATGGTCCCAGGATTCCTCGGGCCCCCCCCCCCCCAGATGGTATGGTCCAAGAGACGACGACGACGACTACGACGACGACGACGACGACGACGACGACGGCGGCGGCGGCGGCGACGGCGACGGCGACGGCGACGGCGACGGCGACGGCTACGACGACGGCGACGACGACGCCGACGGCTGCGGCGGCGACGACGCCAGCGGCGGCGGCGGCGTCGACGACGAGGACGACGATGACGACGGCGACGACGACGATGACGACGACGATGACGACGACGACGACGAGGACGACGAGGACGACGAGGACGACGACGACGACGAGGATGAGGACGACGACGACGACGACGACGACCTCTGAACCACCACAGCACCACACCACATCCACAGGGGGAGGGGCACCGCAGCGCAGCACCACGCCACGCCCACCTCTGAACCACCACAGCACCACACCACATCCACAGGGGGGGGGAGGGGGGCCACCGCAGCGCAGCACCACGCCACGCCCACAAGGGGGGGCGGGGGGGACCATCGCGCGGGGGTGGGGGGGCCCAATGGCATCAGCATTGGGGGGGGGGGCCAAGCCCTGGACCATGTATCCGTCACTGTTTTTGCGTGGAATGGGTATTAGAAGGTTCCTGTGGTCCCTCTTGGAATGTTTTGAATGCTTTCCAGAGCCGACCCCCTCCCCTGCATAGCGCGCGGGGTTAAAACATCGCCCCCCCTGAAGTTGCTCCCCGGCTTTCTGTTCGGCCTCCAGACGGCCAAGATGGCCTCCAAGACGGCTTCCAAGGCAACCGTAACGACAGTAGCACTGCTCAATATGGCCCAAGATAGCTCAAGTGGCTCTCAACACGACCCAAGAGGCCCGCAAGAGGGCACGAGAGGGCTCCAAGAGGCCCCCTAAGACGGCCCAAGAGAGCTCCGACGGGCCTTCCTGGAGAGCCCGAGGGGGCCGAAACAATTGGCTGCCTTTAGGAATTTGAAAGATTTTGAGGTTCTCGTTCAGATTTCCGACCGCCCGAGACGGCCCAAGAAGCCTCCAAGAGGCCTCCAAGATAGCTCCAAGGCAACCCAAGAGGCCCACAAGAGGGCCCGAAATCGGGCCAAGAGAACCCAAATATTGCCCAAGGGGCTGCCAAGAGGGCCCCTGAAACGGCCTTGAAGCGCTCCAAGAGAACAACGACACGGCACAAAAAGGCCTCTTGGGCTGTCTTGGGCGGTCGGATACCAAAACATACCAGAGCACACCTAAGAACAATCAGTGGTTTTGGCCTCCCCGGAATCTCCTGGAAGGCTTCTTGGAGACATCTTGGGGGCCTATTGATCTGAGGCCTTCTTGGGAGCCTCATGGCCTCCAGGACGGCTTTCAAGACAACAACAAATCCACCAAGATGGCCCAGGATGGCCCAATACGGCTCCAGAAGCTCCCGCGACAGCCTCAAGACAGATCAAGAAGCCCCCAGGACGGCCCAGAAGAGAGCTCCAAGAGGCCCTCCTGGAGAGCCCGAGGAGGCCAAGACCATTGATCTCCCTTAGGTGTTTGAAAAAGGTTTGAGGTTCTCGCCTGTTCGGAGTTTCCGACCGCCCGAGACGGCCCAAGACGTCTCCAAGAGGCCTCCAAGATAGCCCTCAAACAACCCACGAGACCCCAAGAGGGCCTCACATCGGCCCGAACGGGTCCACAAATCGCCCAAAGGGCCCCCCCAAAGGCCCCTAAGACGACCGTGAACCGCTCCAAGAGGGCACAAACACGGCCCAGAGAGGCCCCCAAGGCGGCCGCCAGGGGCCCCAAGAGGCCCCCAAGAAGCCCCCACGAGGCCCACCAGACACTTTCCGGAAACTCCCGGGAGGGCCCCAGGAGGCCCCAACAAGGCCCCAAGAAGCCTGCTCCTCTTCATCTTCACTTTCTCCCTCTCCTCCTGCTCCTCCTCCTCCTCCTCCTCCTCCTCCTCCTCCTCCTCCTCCTCCTCCCTACCGTGCGGACGAAGACGACGTCGGGATCACGGCCCACCGCAGTGCAGACTACTCGTCGGAATTGTGCTATTCCTACACTCAGCCTCCTTCCTGCTACTCTGTTGCACAGGCACGGTGGCGGGGTTTGCCGAAGGCAATTGGGTATACATACGCACACATACCTACCTACCTACCTACCTACCTACCTACCTACCTACCTACCTACCTACATACATACATACATACATACATACATACATACATACATACATACGTACATACGTACATACATACATACACACACATACACACATACATACATACATACATACTTACACACACATACATACCTATATACCTACATACAAACATACATACATGTATCAATACATCCATACATACATGCATACATACATACATAACTACATACATACATACATACATACATACATACATACATACATATCTACATACATACATACATACATACACACACATACATACATACATACATACATACATACATGCATGCATGCATGCATGCATGCATGCATGCATGCATGCATACACACATACATACATGCATGCATGCATGCATGCAACCATTCATACATACATACATACATACATACATGCATCCATACATACATACATACATACATACATACACATACATACATACATACATACATACATACAAACATACTTATACATACGCATACACATGTACACACATACACACATACATACATACATACATACATACATACATACATGCATTCAAACATAAAACCATACATACATACACACATACATACATACATACATACATACGTACGTACGTACGTACATCCATACATACATACATACATACATACGTACATACATACATACAAACATACATACACACATACAAACATAAACCATACAACCATCTATATATATAGTCACACCTACGTGTTGTTTTCTCTGCGCAAGCCAAGCACAGCAGCACCCCAACTTCGCAAGGCAGGAGGGGAGGATCGGAGGAGAAGGAGGGGGACGAAGGAGAAGGATGGAGGCCACCCCAATCCGGCCAGATCAAGTGGGGCCAGAGAATCGGAGGATCGCACACCACATTGGCGATGCACCGCCGATGCACAGGCATCGCAAGGACGGAGAACGTCAGGCTCCGCATCGACGGTGCACCGGCGATGCGACGCAATCCTCCATCTGTCCTGGCCCATCTCTGCAGGCCTGGGGGAGAGAAGGGAGGAGGGGGAGGGGATGGGGAGGGAGGAGGAGGGTAGCCCAGGGAACGAGTTTTCGCTCTGGATCCAGCTTTGATTGTCCAGGGGCCCGAAAACGGCCCATGGATGCCGAAATGAACGAACAGCCGCCAGTGGGCACGTCGGGGGAGATCTGGGCTGGGGGGTGGGGAGGTAGGAAGAGGAGGAGAAAGAGGAGGAAGAAGAGGAAGAAGGGGTGAGGAGGAGTAGGCCGACGGGGAAAGAGGGAAGATGATTGAGGAGGGGCATGAGGACTGATGATGAGGACGACTGATGATGATGATGATGATGATGATGATGATGATGATGATGATGATGATGATGATGAGAATGATGATGATGATGATGATGCTGATGCTGATGATGATGATGATGATAATGATGATGATGATGATGATGATGATGGTAATGATGATAATGATGATGATGCTGATGATGTTGATGTTGATGATGATGATGATGATGATGATGATGATGATGATGATGATGATAATGATGATGGTGATGACGATGACGATGAGGAGGAGGAGGAAGAGAATGAGGAGGAGGGGGAGGGGGGGGAAGAGCAGCGAGAAGGAGGGAGAAGGAGGAAGAGGAGGAGGAGGAGGACGAAGAGGAAGAAGAGGACCAGGAGGGGGCGGGAGGAGGTGGCGTGAGGAGGTGCCGTGAGGAGGACGTGGAGGGGAGGGACTGGGGAGGAGGAGGAGGAGGCATGGCGGTGGAGGAGGAGCGATCCTCCTCCTCCTCCTCGTCCGAGCCGTCGGCCTCCTGCCGCGGCCGTGGCGCCCGGAGGCCCGAGCTGTGCGCGGGCAGCAGCGTGGGCGCAGCGGCCACCTGCCCGCGAGGGGCGTAGCTCCTGGGGCTCGGCGGGGTGCTCGAGGCCTCCTCCGCCCTGTCGCCTCCCTGCCTCCTCCCTGCCTCCTCCCTGCGTCCTCTGCCTCCTTGCCTCCTTGCCTCCTTGCCTCCTTGCCTCCCTGACTCCTTGCCTCCTTGCCTCCTTGCCTCCTCATCCTCCTCCTCCTCCTCCTCCTCCTCCTCCTCCTCCTCCTCCTCCTCCTCCTCCTCTCTGTCCTACACCTTCTCCTCCTCCTCCACCTCCTCCTCCTCCTCCTCCTCCTCCTCCTCCTTCTGGTACAGATCCTCCTTCTCCTCCTCATCCTCCTTGCTTCCTCCTCTCGGCCTCCTCTCGGCTTCTTCCCCAACCCCTTGTCCTTATGAATAACTCCTCCCTGTCGCACCCCGGGGCGTCCACAGGGCGGGCTGGGCGTTTCGCCTGAGACTTCCTCATTATTGATGCCCCTTAAGCGGAGAACGTGCAACAGCTTCACGGATGGAGGGCGAGCCGCTTTCAAAATGTGGCTCTCGCCTTAGCGCTGCGCACACTCGTCTTAAACACTTGCAAGAGCTTCGCGGATGAAGGGGTGTTTATGTTCAAAATGCGGCTCTCGGTGTAGCGCCGCGCAAATTCGCTTCAAGAGTTTAAGACAGTTCCAAGGAGCCTCATGGTTAACGCTCCAGAAATGGTGGTGTGGCACGATGTCGGACTGTCTGGACGCAAGGGTTACGTTGATTCGCGGTGTTGAAGTCGCAGGAATGCTGTTCTGGCACGATTCAGGACCTTCAAGACGCAGCAGTAACTGTAATTCGGGACATTCACGTCCTAAGAATGGTGTCCAATGTTCTGGCGCAGTTCACGATTTTCAAACGGCTGTCTTCCAACAGAGCACATCCCTCAGTGAACACGAACCCTTGTAGGGGCCTGTGAAGAGGGAACTTTGAGTGGAGGTGTATTGCAATACCGTTGGTGAACCTTGGGTTCACACTGGTCTACCTCCTCCTCCTCCTCCTTCTCGTCCTGCTCCTCCTGGCCACCTCCCGGCCTCCTCCTGCTCCTCCTCGCCCTTCTCCTCCTCGGCCTTCTCCTCCTTGCCTCCTCCTCCTCCTTGCACCTCCTCCTCATCCTCCTCTTTGCACCGCTGCCTCCTTTTCGACGCTAGACCATCTAGAGGCGGCAGCCTGGAGCGTGCATGGTGCAACAAGGACCGGCTTAACGTTGCGGTAAAAGCAATGGCCGCGGACGGGTGCAGAAAAAGTAGGGCGATGCGACAGGCGAGGAATAGTAGCCCATGAGGGCGAGGGTAACCCTATCCACGGCACAAGGAGGTGAGGATACCATTACAAACAAACAGACAAACCGAGAAAACGATACACGAAGGAAGGTACTAATGAGGGAGACTAACTACAGCTGCAGGTGGGCTGGCAGGAGAGATTCCCGCCCCCCTCCCCCCGCAAGCTAAAGAAGTACATTCGCACCCGTATGTGGGGAACCAGGTATGCATAGCTAACAGGCGGCACGTGGGAGATAAAACAGGCATGACACACATATTTATGGATATACATACACCTCCATATATATATACACACATATACATATATATATAGATTCAAGCGCGTGAGGCTGGCACTTGTTAGGCTGGCCTGAACTGGAGGAGCTAACTGCAAGTAAACCGGATAGTTGCCGGCGCGTGAAGGCTGTCAAGAAGTGGCCGCTCTGAGGCCTGCTGTGCGCCACCGTCCTCTGCCTCCTCCTCCTCATCATCATCATCCTCCTCATCCTCCTCTCCCTCCTCCTCCTCCTCCTCCTCCTCCTCCTCCTCCTCCTCCTCCTCTCCATCCTCATCTTCCTCTTCGTTTTGCCATTGTTCTGCCTCCTCTCCTCCTCTTCCACCTCCTCCTCCTCATTATCCTCCGCTTCCTGCCCCTCCTCCGTAATTTCTCAATATGAATACTACTATACTCTCTCCCCCGAAGATGGCCCAGGAGTAGCCCACCCCCTACACGTGCTGCTTTGCTCTCCCACACACAGGATGTCAAGCATTGGTCTTTTCTATGGTCGTTCAGTCGGAGCGTTTTCGGTCTCTCAAAACGGTGCTGTCGCTGGAGCGATGGCCTCATTTTAGGATCGGCGCTTTGCTCTCGTCGTTCAGAATGGCGCTCTCGCCCCAGCGCAGGCCATGATTCTGAATCTAGATCCTTCCTCATCATTATCGCCCCCTCCTGTCCCCTCATCCACCTTCCCTCTTTCCTTATCGCTACCGCCCCCCTCCTTTCCCCTCCCGCTCCTCCTTTGTACGCAGCCCTCCTTTTCCGATTGCGCATCACACGATGGGATATTGTTGGGAGTTCCAGGCGTCCATGACACGGGTCCACGGGCAGAAAACGCATCAAAGCACTGGAAAGGGATGAGTTGGAGGGATAGGATGTCAGAGATGGCGCGAGTGCGTCCACCTCCCCCTCCTCCTCCTCCTCCTCCTCTCCTCCTCCTCCTCCTCCTCCTCCTCCTCCTCCTCCTCCTCCTCCTCCTCCTCCCCCTCCTCCTCCTCCTCCTCCTCCCCTCCTCCTCTCTTCCTCCTCCTCCTCCTCCTCCTCCTCTTCCTCCTCCTCCCTCCTCCTCCTCCTCCTCCTCCTCCTCCTCCTCCTCCTCCTCCTCCTCCTCCTCCTCCTCCTCCTCCTCCTCCTCCCCTCCCTCCCCCTCCTCCTCCTCCTCCTCCTCCTCCTCCTCCTCCACCTCATCCTCCACCTGCCCGCGGGGGACGCAGCTCCTAGGGCTCGTGGACACTGCCGATGGGGCTCGAGGCTCTCGGGGAGCTCCCGTCGGCCCTCGGTAGCTCTCCAGCCTCGGGCTGCTCTCCGGCAGATGCGCCTCGCCGAGAGAGCGCTCCGGTGTGCCCAGATCGTCCCGAACTGCCGCCGAGGAGGGAGGGAGGGAGGAGGGAGGACGAAGAGGACGGCGAGGGAAAACGAGGAGGGAGGACGAGGAGGGAGGACGATGAGGGAGGACGAGGGGAGGAAGGAGGAGGCCGTAGGAGCGAGGGGGACGAGAAGGACGAGGAGGAAGGAGGACGAGGAGGGAGCAGTGCAGGCGATGCTGTCACCTGCCAGCGGGGGTCATAGCTCCTGGGGCTAAGGCGGCGTTCTGGAGGACGGAGGCTCCCGGATCGCGCTCGAGGGAGGAGGTTCGAGGATCGGGGCCGGAGGCGACGGAGCTTCGAGGCGACGGAGGCTCGAGAATCGGGCTCGCGGAGAGCTCGTCGGAATTCGAGGACGGAGGCTCCAGGGTCGGGCTTCGAGGCTTTTGGGTGTGACTAGGCCCCCTTCGGCCTCTGGGGATCCTGGTGTCCTTCCTGGGGCCTGTGTGGGGCCTCTGGCGCGGCCGCCGTCGCCGTCGCCGTCGCCGTCGACGACATCGTCGTCGTCGTCGTCGTCGTCGTCGTCGTCGTCGTCGTCGTCGGCGTCGGCGTCGGCGTCGGCGTCGGCGTCGGCGTCGGCGTCGGCGGCGTTGCGATAGATCGAGGCTCGAGGTTCGAAACATGTTGTGCCGTTTTCGGCTTCTGTCGGGGGCGTCCACAAGGGTGCGTTCAAGAGTGGGGTTCGCAACTCATTGCTCGAGACACGTGCGCGGCCCAGGGGTGGGTCAAGGAACGTGTTGAAAGAAGAAGCGCGCCAGGGAACGTGTTGAAAGAAGACAGGGCCATGAAACCATGGAGATTTCATGGCTACCACAAAGATCTGCACACCCATCGTCCTCCGCCCCCGATTGGACGCCCCCGATCTGTGCGGCATCCCGTTTCGGGCCCCTGGGCATGCAAACATCGAACTATCCAGGATGGACCCCGGGAGGGGCCAGGACCGATTTTGAGCGGGATTCGCTCCCATGTCGTCGTCCTCTTGTTCGGCGTCCGGGGGTCTGCAAATGGGCATCAGCACCAACACGGGGGGGTGCCTTCACGGGGGGAGAAGATGATCCTCGATTTTGGTGGTGGGGGTGGTAAGGCCTCGCCCACCTTCGATTCCTCGCCTCCCATCCTACGGCCGTGGCGGGGGCACCAAGTTTCCCCTGGAATGTTCCACACGTTCTTTCTTTGCCCGGGGATGTCATGGTGACGCAGTGTGTGGGTGAAGAACCATTGGGCGTCCCTGAGGGTAAACGAGGGAAGGGCTGAACCAAAACACAAGGATGCAAGAGTAGTCCGGGGGAGCAAGCACCTCATTCTGCTTATGAACGGCGTCTGAAAATGGGGGCCTGGCAGACGTCAGTGCCAAGATATCACCTTCAGCCGTCCATGTCTACGTAACACTTTCTCATGCCCGCGGTGGGCGGCTTTCCACCCCACTGCTCCACAGCAGGTCGCCAGTGGCACTGAACTTTCGGATGGCATCGTCCGTGGCGAGGTAGACGTTCATCTCATCGTCGATCATCGGCCCTCCGATGGGTATCGTCTCATACAGCCCGTTCGGGTGGTGCCAGCCCCAGGAGATGTTGGCGGTGAGGTCCGCGGCGCCTCTCCAGGCCTCCTGGTTGCGGCCGCTGGTGGCGCCGGGCCACCAGTTGTCTTTGCTCTTTCCCGCGTGGATCCGATTCTCCTGGTATCTGGTGACACCCTCACGGTTCACCTGGCCGACCTCCTCTTCCTCGTTGCCCCTCAGCGCGAGAGAAAACGCCGAGGCGAGCGTCAGCTGCAAGGTCCAAGCACGGAGAGCATGTGCTGCCATTGTTGTCAAAGGCTTGGCATGGATTCGTGAAGCGGTACTGTACGTCTCGCGGCCCGAAGGC